CCGAAAATTCCGGTGCCCGTTTTCTCCGGCTTATTCCAGTACAGTTGGTTGGCTGTCGGAAGGATTTTCGATGGATGGGTTTTTAAGCTGACGGAAACGAACCCGCCATATGTTTGAGCGTAATATTGTTTGTCCGTACGTTAAGCCTGCCAGGGGAAGAGGCGCAGAGCAAAGCGAGAAAGGGGGCTAAAATTGGTTTAGAGATAGTAGCTATGCTGAGAAGTGCATAAATACTTGTAAAAGTGCAGAATTTGGCGCTGAATTATGTAAAAATGACTTTCAAACAGAACACCATAGTAAAAAAGATGTGTTATTCGGAGGAAATGGTGTGTCATTTTGGGCAAAAGACGTCAGACTTTCTGTACCTGTGTTTTTATTGGGTGCGCAAAGTTTCAGCTTTCTACGTTGCCTGGTTTGCGAAATCGCTTCCCACCAACATATTTCTTTAGGGGTCCCGTACGTGAGGTCTAGGCGCGTATGGAGAAAGATCTTAAAATGGGAGGATGACACACAAGGTAGGAACAGTGGTATCTCCGAGAAAGTTAAAGAACAGTTGAACGACTCCCAATGAGATAGCGCACATACATCGAACAGGCGGAGGGTGTCAACTAGCAGTATATGAGCCAGGGTCTGGCATAGCTGCGTGAGCATCCTAGTAACATCACTAACAAGGGATCCCTACACTGATAGTCCGAGCAGTATTGGTATTCGGATGCGCTGGGAAGTTGTGAGAATTGCTCGACAGTGCACCGGTTTATTTTTTGAGGTGTTCGATGTGACGAAAGGATTTGCATTTTACGAACCAGAAGGGCCGTACCATAAATTGGCTGGGCACGATGCGACACGTGCATTGGGAACGATGGATGTTGGTGACGTGAAAGATACGCCGGATGATGTGAGTGATATGACTGAGGCCGAAAAAGATGCAGTGAAGGAATGGGTGCAGTCTTTTTCATGTAAGCAATTTTCTGCTATCCATCAGTGCATCTGCTTCATTATGCATACTGGGCAGTTTTTACGCGTTTTCTTGGGCATATCTCGTCGTGAGCTCATCATCCTTCTGTTCTCATTTACATTCTTACTCTTTCCCGTCACTGGGCTGAGTTGAAAAAAAAAAATTTAAAAAATTTGTATTATAAACGCGATGCAGAACAGCTGTTAGGTATAAATTTCATCATGAAATTCTCTTCCTCTCTCTGTGTCTCTCTCTCTCTCTGTGCTGATTCATTCGGGTTTTGTGATCCATCCGCATTTTTGATGCACCAGTTGTGATTATGACCTTGAAATTGCCAGATTACAAGCCATTTCAATACAGTTTATTGTGACAGGCGGGGGGTTTTTTTTGTTTAAAGCACGTTGAAATTGGTCCGACCACCAGGACAATTTTTAAAGGAATAATTCATCATATACACATCTTTTTGATGGCTGCTTCTGTAAGAGTCCACGCTTCAGGCCAGTTCACCGAGTCAAAACTTTTTCCTTTTTCAATGAACTCTTCGAGGGGCGAATGAACTCAGCAGAAGTGCTTAGATGGCAGCGCGTGCCAGCAAAAACCACTCGCTGGCAAGTCGATGACTTTGTTTCTCGAAGGTTCATTGGATGCAGGCTAACGTAGTTGTGACTT